AAGCTTTCGACGGCTAAGTGATTATTACACGTGATATGCAATTAATAAATAGCCTGTATTATTTTTATAGTTCTTTGAAATAAGTTTCCATAATAGCTGGACTATATAAAACTAGGAAACAGTGAACAGATGCTTCGTTCAAACAAATAAGTTTTCAACAGTAAGTTCAAGGTAGTTTCTTGGGGATTGAACGCAAGAAATTTTGGTCTCATAGCTATTGTTTAATTTCTGAATCACTGACTCAGTAGTCTACATTCCAGACTTTAGTTAATTCAGAATATATTTATTCCACTAATAATGACTAACTGTTTCATGATTTGGCTAAACTTCAGAATTCATAATCTCCTACGTTAGCCTAATAAGCTAGTCTCATTGAACATCATTATTGAGAACATGATTACTTTGTGGAATGTCATATTAAAATGAAATAGATGTTCAGTGCATGGTGGTCTTCACTGATATCTAAAACGATGCCAATTTATGAAGAAGTCACTTATCGAAAGGTGACTGCTGTAATAGAATAAGCGATTATATTTCTGTTTCGCACAAAATATCTGATCTTTTTCCAATATTTTTTACTCTTCCTCTTTTTTTTCAACCCTACTACATACTACTCAGTGTTTATTTCTAGCGTGAAACTCCTCAGTAGTTTGTATCCACAACCCCACTAAAAATATTGAACCCAGGATCTTAGATCTTGGACGAGAGCACTTAACTTCTAAATCATTGAGGGAAGATCTATTGGTGCACAAATCTAATTTCAGTCAATTCGCGATATTATGTGAACACCTTTAATTGCTTTTAGTGAATATCTTTCTTATACACGACACAGTACAATTCCATTGGATCTGGTTTCTCACTAGAACTAAAGGGGTTCCCTATCGAAACCAGTCACCAGTATGCTCATGATAGTTATTAGGAATAGGGATTTGGCGTATTGTTGAATGATTTTGAGATTGATTATACAGCAGTGGTTAAGTTCACATTAGCTTTGACACTTTGACTTGATTGACTATCTGATGAATCATGGCAGTTGTGATAATTTCTTATCTATATAGTTCACTCAACAATACAGGACATGCAACTTATAAGTTAGCGCTCATAATAACTGTGTTAAGTAATTTCAATCAAGTAATTCGAAAAAGTAGATGTTTACCTGAAATAATGACGTGATTTTGTAATTACATTCATCTCATTATTAGTGATCTCACTTTAAATTACAAAAATTGTATTTAGGTTCGATTCTATACTGAATCGTGGATACTGAGTGTTCATGAATCAGAAATTAGAAAGTTATATTACTTCAATACCGTCTGATATTCTATAGTCTGTTTATAAAAGACAGATAAATAGTAACTAAGGGAAAAGTTTTCGAATTACCAAACACTATAGAAAGTACTAATTGGAATATTGATAATTTAATTTTATTTTACAACCAATCCTAAATTCACAAGCCATAATGTTCAACAATGTATTCGCCGTAAAGTTAATCGTTTACTTTTAATCATTAATTGGAATGCAAAACTGTAGAACCTAATGACAATTCATAAAAACAAACAATTTTTATTCAGATTCTCTACGTTTTAATAAAATGGAAAATTTGATAATACTGATAATTTTAATAGCTGAATTCATGAATCAATATAAGCTAGACCACCATTGGAAACCTGGAATCACTGGACGACCACTTCGTTCCAGTATGGGATTCTTCAGAAGCGTACATCTACGATCTCGCGCAAAGGAACTCGAACCCAAGACCTTCTGTCTCGCACGTGAACGCTTAACCTGTAGATCACTGAAGCGGCATCCAAAGGATGGAGTTCCTAGAGTTTTAGTGAGAAGCTGTGACCAGTGGAGTTCAACCCGTGTCGGATGAAAGACAGTTACTCACTGAAGACAATAGATGAAGATGTGAGCAAAATCATGGATCGATTGAAGTTAGACATAAACACAGTTGGATGCCGGCACGATGGTCTAGATGGAGGTGAATTGTTCAGATGAAAGAGCGAAGGTCTTGTGTTCGAGTCGCTTTGGTGTAGGATCGTGGATGCCCATTGATGAGGAGTTCTATACTAGAATGAAACGGCCTCTCAGTGCTTCTAAGTTCTTCGTAATGGTCTAGCTTACATTGACTCATGAATTTAACTATTAAAATCACTACAATCTCCACAAACCCCCATTTAAGTAATATTCCTGATAATAATAGCTATACAAAAGGTGGCTTTATTCAATACTATATGCTTGATTACAGTAAAGGGACATTAAGCTAAAATACCGTAACAAACACATCTTCACATACAAATGATTCTTGATCAATTTTCTCCGACAATATTGTCTGTCACCTCATCCAATATGTTTAATGCAATAATTCTATTACGATGGCTTCCTCTCTCTTTTAATAATATACGACTAGGAAAAAAAAATACAAACCATATATTACAGATCCACTCGAATGTAGTGTCAATTACCTTCAAAACTGGTTTTAACCCTTTTGTAAGGGCTCTTGAGTTTATTAAATAATAGGCGTATATAACACTAAAAAGTTAAAATAAGAATATAATTTATCTTAATATGACCACCACTAGAAACCTGGAAGCCCTGGGATCCTAAAACATTCGATCTCGCGCTGAGGAAATCTATATCAGAACAAAACAGTTGTCTATTGTTCATTGGTTTGTAGTGATTGCGTGCGTTAGATAGGTTCGCAACTTCAACAAATCATTTAACTATTTATTTATTTAGCTGAAAAACTATAATAAATCAAGGGATATTGAATACATATTTGACTTTTTATTTAAAACTCCACATTAATATACACTCACGATCCTATATAACTGTATCCTTGAATTGGAATTCAGCAGGCAACATTTTCAAATTCAATCGATTTAGAAATAAATTTCTATCATCATTCAACACCATCTACATATAGTTGTCTCATTTTTTATTTCCTATAAACGTTATCCCGAAAGCGTCTTATAATGGGATGACTAAATGCTTTGTAAAGTTTTAATTCCATAAAAGTAATCTACAACAGACTTAAATCTTTAGTAATAAGTAATATGAGCAGAGCCATTCCACACCTTTTCTACTGAATTTCAGTTATTTCATTGTCACATTAATAATCTGAACCTTAAGTACTAGTTTTAAATTAGTATTTATTAACTTAAATGCTTATTTATTTATTACCTTTATTCGATATTATATTCTTGATCCAATATAGAATTCTCTGCATAAAGTATTTCAATAAGTTTCCGTTTCTTACTTCTTGATTGATCCTGACGATAATATATTGAATGATAGCCAGTTGGAAGTAAGCAGTTCCGTCAAACGACATCAAAATAATGTGCATTATTTTCGTTACATATTACCAGCAACTACGATATCTCTGATTGAGCCTTTTGTAACTTGTACAATTTTCAGAAAGGCATCTGAATAGGTTATACGATTAATAGACATAATGATGTGTTCAAAACAAACAGATTACTTGTTGAAATATCTAGATGGTAGGGAGGAACAGGTAGCCCATATGTTCAAATAGATCGCCAAATATGTTCTTTGTATTCGATAAATTATTCAGGTATTTTTATGTTGAACAGTTTTTGTAAGACGAAATTATCATCAAGAACTGTACAAGATGACAATGATCACTATTCCATGACTAATCATTCCAAATATAATATTTTGTTACAAAGTTATCAGTTCTTAGAATTATTTAACCCTTTTTTCTTCCCAGTTCAAACATTAACTTGTACAAATTACATGCTAAAAACCACTAGACTGTTATTCAGACCATTATTAAATGATCTACTAGGTACTTGTGTACATTATATTTATTTTCTAAAAGATATGAGTATGCGATATTTGAATGAAATCAGTATGTAGAATTTGCATTGGCTTCTTCATGATCTTTTCAGAGATATCGTTCAATTTTAAGATAGCTTATATTCAAGGACTGATATTAGTATGAAGTTATGGATTAAAGTTTCTCGAATTCATGACCAAATTTGCGATTGTTAAAATAAGGTAAAACAATGCTTGTCAATGAATGATATGCAGAGATACAATGTGATCGAATGATAGCTGCTTACAAGATCATTAGTCTAAGCCCTCGTTTGATCTGAGATCAAAGACAAGACCACTAGTCTATGGTAGACTGAAAACTCAGGTACACAGATGAATAGGTCTTTAATTCTAATAAAAAAGACGCTTGTACATAAAATATTCACAGAAAAATAAACATGATTAAATATCATGGGCGATTGAAAAGAACCAATTTTATCGGTCACTCACATTCCATTTAGTTACAAACTTACCCCTCTTATTTATAGACAACAATAATGTCACGAATTAACTGAAGCTGGAAATGTAAGCTATTAGATGTCACTAACTCAGTAATCTGAAGGTCACGCGTTTAACTCCAGAGAAGATTGTTGGAAGATTTCCTGTGAAGTTTCATACCAGAACAAAATAACTAACAATCGCTCTATACTTTTCAATAGTTTTCTACCTGAAATCAACCAATCCAGGATGCCGATTTTCATCAAAATTTTAGTATATTTTATTCTTAATTGTATCATTGAATTTTTCAATAAAAATCAAGTATGTTACATAAGATATTGATTTGATAATTCAAGATTGTGTCTTTTCTTTTTTTTTAAAACAATCGTAAACATCTCTTCATTGCATTCATTCATTTTTTATTTTTGATGAAGTTTTATTCTTTGAGCTGGATAGTTTGGTTATGGAGTTTTCATCGTTCTTCAGATAGACGTTTGTGCTGATGATGTCGTTCAGAGAAGCGATGAAAGCTCCATGATCAAATCAGAGAATAAAACTCCATCAAAATCATTCACCTGAGCTATAAATCTTCTCCATTTTGTATTTTATTATACAGTTTCTAAATGAATAAGAATAATTCATCATTATTCCAACTGTCTATAACTTTCATAAATAATCTATGATTTATACAATATAACACAACTATACATTATATTATTCAAATGTTCAGTAATCATTTAGATCACCATAGTGATTATTATACATGTAACAATGATCCGAATAATAATGATCCAAATAAGAAGATCATAAATGATAATTATGAAGTAAATATTTTTCAAAATTATACAAAACAGTATTATTATTATTATTATAATATACAACAATGTATACCATCACCTTTATTATTATTTACCTGGTCAAAATTAATGAGAACAGAATTGTTTCGACAAACTTTGCATAATGTAATTTTATCAAATTATGATGATTACGTAATTACTAGTTTACAATCTACTAATAATCCGGTTGATAATAGTAATAATAATAATAGTAATAGTAATCATACAAATTCAGATATAATCGATCTAACTAATAGAAATACCTTAATCAAAAAATATTTGAATAAATTAAATAGCTTATTATTTGAATATTTATCATCTAACAAAGACTGGACATCGTCATCATCATCATCGTCGTCATCTTCGTCATCATCATCAACATCACCGTTATCATCATCAACAAATATCACTGAACCATATCATCGGTTTAATGTATATAATAATTATGAATCAAGAAATTTTTTATATGAATGCTTGAATCAATCAATAAATTGCAATAATTTATATGATAACACCTTGATCAAGAATATAGATCATGAAAATAATCATTTATTTAAATTAGATGATAATCTACCTCTTGAAGAAGGAACAATACAATTCAATGAAAACAATAACAATGATAATGATAATAATAACAATAGAGATTTTCATCTTGATAGTAAGTATCATTTAGATTCATATATGACTTCATTGAATATACCAGAAATATATCATTCTAAATGTAACTCATTATGGTCAAATATATGTAGAGAAAATTATCATCCTGAAATATATCAGAATTGTTCAATTTGGAAACAAACATCATCATCATCATTATCAGCAACAACCACAACAACAACATCATCATCATCACCACCACCACCACAACCAATCATTGATTGTTCTTTAAATACTAAACATGCAATTATCAATTCATCATTTATATCATTGAATAAATCTAATTTCAATGAAATTATTGATAATACAAAATTATATAAATCACAATTACAATCTACTATAATTCCATCAAATTCATATTCACCACCATTAAATTTTAATGAATTTATTTTAGATCAAAATATGTTATGTCCATTATGTCATAAATGTTTTCGATTTGAAAAAAATCTTTTAAGACATTTACAAAAAACACATGCAACTAGTACAGGTGAATCATTATTAAAATGTAAATTATGTAATTATACAACAAGACATTATAGTAATATGTATGTACATATTAGAACACATACAGGTTAGTAAATAATTAATTATATCAGATGGGTTTTGTGAATACTATAGTAATTTCAATGATTAAGATTATGAGTCAGTTGAAGCTAGATCACCATTGAAAACCTGGAAGCACTGGACAGCCGTTTCATCTGTTATGAGATAGTAACTTACTGAAGACAATGGTAGATGTGTTACTGGATTTCATGGATTAGTTGAAGTTAGATATTAACACCATTGGATGCCAACTCAGTGGTCTGGTTGGTTAAGTGCTCGCGTGAGAGGCTGGTAGGTCCTGGGTCCGAATCTAGCAAGGGGCGAGGTTGTGGATTCACAATGCTGATGAGTCTCACAATAGGACGAAACGGCCGTCCAGTGCTTTCAGGTTTTCCATGGTGGTCTAGCGTCAACTCACTCATGATCTTAACCATTGAAATTAATTATAAATTTATTATATAATCATATTTTCAATATGTATAATGATTGTCAATTTGATAAATTTGACAGAACTGCTTTGTAATCATATGCTCACTAGTGGTGGTCTTTAAGAAATATTTCCTGTGACCAGTGGATTTGGACAGGGTCTGTTGTGAGATAGTAACTCACTGATAACAATGGTTGATCACAGTGGCTCAATTTCATGGATTGGTTGAAGTTAGACATTAACACGATTGGATGCCGGCTCAGTAGTCTAGAGGTTAGGTCCTGAATTCGAATCTCACGAGGTGGGTTCATGGATGCGCATTACTGAGGAGTTCCATAATACAAAGAAATGGCCGTCTCGTGCCTCCAGATTTTTCATGATGATCTAGCTTCAATTGACTCATGAATTCAACTTATTAAATGTTACAAAGTTATACGAAACCAATTTTTTATCATAATTAAAGTGATTTCAACACTATACAGATATAATAGGAACTTGGACATACAAGTACCATAGCACTCTAATTCATATCCATATATTAGATCGAAATCAAGTTAGTAGATGTAATAACTGCTCAGTTATTAAAATTATTGTCGTTGGACATTTGAGCCATGTGTTTATATTTTAAGGAAATCATCATGTTTAAGATTTGTTTGAACTAAATAATTATTAGCGCAAATTGTGTATGTGTACTTAAGTGTGTTCCTATAAAAAACGTTTCCAAACAATAGTTATATGATAAATATTTGAAAACTAGAACGGAGACAATATAGTTATTGAAATATTTTCCTAGTTGTCTATAATTTGAATAAATAAAGGACAATTGTATTTGGAATACATTCATGTTAGATCCATTCATGATTCCGATCAAATTCAACAATCTCCACAACCCCTTATTAACAACTGTCATGTGCTCACCAGAGACTAGCTTCGAGAGAAGATTTTCAGAGTTTTAGTGAGACGTCATGGTCAGTGCAGAAAATCCATGTCGGATTTGAGGCAGTTACCCATCAAAGACAATAGGAAATGAACTAATTGAAGTTAGGCATCAACACCGTCGGAGACCGATTCAGTGGCCTAGAGATTGGGTATTCGCGTGAGAGACTTTAGATAGTGAGCTCGATTCCCATGTGCGTGGTTGTGCATGAGCATTGCTAAGTAATTTCACACTGGGACAAAAATAATGTCCAGTGCTTCCAGGTTTTCAACGGTGATTTAACTTAGATTAATTCATGATTTCAATGAAAATCTATCCATCTCCTACACAGTGAATGAAATGAAATTTGCAGCAGCTGATTTGGCAGAAAATCTTTCTTCATCGAAGATGATGGATAGATACTGACCGCTGAAAAACATTTCTAAGAACTTTTTTATGAATAATGAAAATTTGACACGACGAAAGAATTCCATTGATTCATCAAAAAGAATGATGTTTTAGCCAAGGAAATTATCTTTTCGACGATATCATTTTCTGAAATTTTACAATCGTGTTTATAGGCCATTTTCACATATAATAGTCTACAGTAAAATACAGGAATTTTATAAAATTATCAAAGATAGTCAAACTTATTTAAGTGAAAGTTAGTGAAAATGAAGTGGTATTACATAACTTAGTCATGATTATCAACAGATTTTAAGTAATGCGTATAATAGTTTATACATGGAAGGGTGTTATTTTAATGTAATTCAAGTTTTTAAGCATTAAATAAGAAAGGGGTGTCGCAACATTTAGCTGTAGTAGTAGTAGTAGTAATAATCAAAGATCATCAAGAGTTTACGTTGTGTAATAGTTTTAAAAGTAAAAAGATGTTATGATCTACAAAATAAAAGCTGGAAACAACTGTCCACTTAATAAAGAAAGATAAGAAGAATAAAGTTATTGGGACTTATGATTTTTAGAGTTCTTGTTGATTGAATCAATCATACTTTTGGATGAACATTTTAAATCCAGATCATCATACATAAAGTATTACATGGTTGTTTGTACAACTTGTTAGTTAACATATAATTTAGAATAAAATACACACAAAATGAATATATACTGACGGTTGTTGAATTTCGTGAATTAATTAAAGTTATACATTCATACCGTTGAATGCAGACTTAGAGGTTAAGCGTTCTAGTACGAGACCAGTCTTGAGTTCGACTTCCAAGTGTAAAGCCATTGGTGAGGACTATACTTAGTTAAAAAGCTTCCCAGTGATTCCATATTTCCAGATGTCGAACTAAAATCAGTTTTTCATTTAAAATCTGTATGACATTAAATTTGTATCGCATCAGAGCACTATGAATCATAAAATATATTCCATTGTTACATACTCCCAATTTTACATAAAGACCAGACTACAAATTTTACTACCAACATTTCTAATTGTTTTTATTTGACTAATGGTGACAATTAGGACAGAATTTGGACATTCTCATAAAGCAGCATGGACAAAACACAGTGATTGATTGGTTTTAGCTTCAACTACTTGTAATAGGATAAAAAATGCTTACAATTAATATTAAGTATTATTCCTAGCAAACAAGTTATTTACTGTAAATCAATGACTTACTGGGTAGGGACTACGATTTATCAAATTTACTTAGTTATTAAGCAGATGTCACAGCAACTAATGGTGTAAGATAAACCGGTTAGACATCTCAATTAGAGCCCTCAAATGCCCTGGTATGGCCAAGAGTGGGGACAGTCATCTCTCCTTCTCTAAATGCTCTTACATTGGCCACGTGCATACAACCCTTGCCAGCGAAGTCCCACTCATTGTCTTCTCGCGAAGAGGATGTTTACGAAGTCGAGAAGACGTCAATAGAAAGATTCGAAAATAAACTCATTTGAAAATATCTTATCAACATTGAATAACAAATATTTATTTCGGTAGCCGAGATCATGAGTCAATTGAAGCTAGAACATCATGGAAAACCTGGAAGCACTGGATGGTTGTTTCGTTCTATTGTAAGACTCTTCAGCAATGCGGATCCACGATCCCGCCTCGCGTGATTTGATTATTAACTGGAATTTTTTTGGTCAGTTCTATGCTTATTACTTTTTAAGGATATAATGTATACTATTAGTGAAATATAATAAAGCATCTATATGTTATATTCTTTTGAAAACTACTGTAATGTATCACGTTTACATTTTTCCAGCATGTAGCATAGTCAGTTTTTAATAGTTGAATTCATAAGTTACATCACCATTAAGAACGCAGAAACACTGGATGTCCATTTCATCTTATTTTCGGACTCCTCAACAGTGCGCAAATTTCCACTGGTAATCCAGCTTAAATCGATTCATGAATTCAACTATTAAAAACTACTACAATCTCCACAAACCCTCATTCTAATAATAGTATGTTTTGTAGAGTGACTTTCATCAAATTAAATAATGAGAGTGATTTCAAACCAAAGAATAAATGATGAAAAACACAGTCTATTCGCTCTATTCCTTTAGCTTTTATTTTTCTTACTGAAACTTATCTTCAACTGTTGCATTGTGATGAATTTCTTCAAATAAATAAGCTTTAATGGTTGAGACCATGAGTCAAGTGCAGCTAGACAACTATGAAAAACATGGATACACTGGACGACCATTTCGTCCTATTATGGGACTCATCAGCAGTTCACATTCACAATCCCGCCTCGTGAGATTCGAACATGGGACTTATTAGTTTCACGCGCGAGTGTTTAACCCCTAGACCACTGAGCTGGCATCCAATGGTGTTAATGTTTAACTTCAACTAGCCCATGAAATTGAGCTACACATCCACAATTGTCATCAGTGAGTTACTATCTCACAACAGACCCGGTTGAACTCAGCTGGTCACTATAATATTCACAAAACCCCTTCCGATATTAAATTGATAACTGTTCATTATTAAAGCATGTTTTGTCAGTTTTAATTATAAAAATTTCCCACTAAAAAAACAAACAAACATAAAATTTACAATGATAAGTTGATCTTCTTCAAACTTTATAGTTTACTAATATAATCAAATAGACATTTATTATCCCACATTTTTTCCCCTCCTCTCCCCACCCGACCCCCAATATCAAATTCTATTCATCTAAATCTAACTAATGGATATACAAATTAATTAACTGAGTACATAATCTGTTTATTCACTTGAAATTCACAATATATATCTCTATAGAAATAAATAATTTGTATCTACCTTATTTGGGGGGGGATTAAACCTCATTAACTATTTTTCATTCATTAAAATGAGTTCATCTTCAATGAAATCATTTACTTGAATGATTATTGAATATTAAAATCACATAACCAACCAACCGACCAAACAACCAAATAAACAAACAAACAAAAGTAATGATAGTTTATTATGTATCTATTTAATTTACACTTGACTTAAATGAAAATTGAAAAATATACATCTATCATAAATTAATTAATTTCTATGTGTATGTTTTTTTGTTTACTTCTAAATGAAAGAAGAAAAAAAAACATGTTGTCACTTGAAATAGTCGTTGTTTCTTCATGAGTTAGTTTATCATTAATTTGAAATATGATTTATGTAGATTTTAAGGTATTACATATATATGATGTAAAACTTAGGTAAAAGGCACTTGAGACGTAATCT